TGCATATACTAATAATTATAAAACGTACGATCGACTATCGTATCGATAATATTGAAAAAATTGGAAAATAGGAAGATCCTACCTAAACAGATCTAACCTAAAAAACGTTTTGCAATTGTTTACAGTGTTATCATGCTAATTCATAAAATAGATATAAAATAATACGATGTCAATCATTTATTATTAAACAATAACGTATATATATTAATAATTATAAAACGTACGATCGATTATCGTATTAATATTATTGAAAAAATTAGAAAATAGGAAGATCAAGATAGTTGAAACGTAATTGGAATTGAAGTACGAGTCTGAACTGAAACGTATTGGAATAGCCCTTTAAAAGAATGCAACCGGTAAATGCATTATCCAATTTTCTGAAGTTGCTCGATATCTGAGAAGAAGAAGAACGATTGATGCTCGAGATCATTGAAGAAAGCTGAAATAAAAGAGAGCGAGAGAAAGGGAAATACTGCAACCAATCAAGGGGAGAAAGAAAAAAAAAATACTTATTGCCCCGGAGCAATTGGGTTCTTTTTTTTCTCTCTCTTTTTCTTTCTCTCTTATATTTTTTCCTTTCCATTATATTACTTGCGGAGCAACCGAGTCGGTAACTTTCTAGGTGAACAAGATTTGCATCGTTGCTCTTCAATTTTGTTCATCTAACATCCACGATGATTATTTCTCATAATATCATCATAATAATAATAATAATAATAATGCGCGACCGATTTATCTTGAAAAAATATGTTTCTCCATATCACGTTTATTTTATTTCATTTTTTTCCGGTCTTATTTATTTTATTCTTTTTTTTATATCAAGTCGAAACATAACTCGAAACTTTCGCATTCTTTGCAGATTTATATTCTCATCGTCGAAAGAGAGAAAGAGATATTTATATTAAAATTATATTCACATTAAATCTCTCGAGAGAGATTTAAGAAGAGAGAGAGAGAGAGAGAGTTGGGTGTAAACAATGACGGATCAAGTCAAACTTGAGGCCCCCCAAAAAACTGTACGAATTTCTAGATCCTTAAACTGTAAAGTTAGAAAATAAACCCCAATAAAATATTCATTAATTTATTAACATCAAATAAAAATAATGACAAATATTTCATACTTATAAAAAACATTAACTAAATTTATTAAACAACAAAAAACCCATAACTTTTCACGTAACATAAAAGAAATGTTTATGACATTGTAATTTCTTTGGAAGTCATTTATTTCGTTACTGAACTTAAATAATGTTCGTTTCATTTATGATTTTACATATTAAACAATATAAGATATTGTATAAAAGGATAAGAAAAAAAATAATAATAATAATAAGAATATAAGAAGTATAAAAAATTTAGAATTTTTATTAACTGGAGAAAATAAGTTGGTATTACCTTTGTCGGAATTTCAACGCTGAGAATGAAAAATTTTATTGCTTTTGTATGTGTGTATGTACTCTCGTGTATGGGTCCGTTAAGAAGGCGGGTACGTTGTTTGCCTTTAAAAGAAGCTAACTCAAACCGGACTATTCCCCATAAGGTTAGCATATCGTTGATCTTGGCCGAGATTCGTGCTGACCATTACGGTCATAATCGTGCACGTGAATCTTAGAAAGGAACTACGCTTCTTTAATTATTAACACAAGATTTTGTACGTATTTATTTTATCTAACAAGTATCGGAATAATTATCATTCGACTGTTCCATTATTTTCCATTTGATTTGTTAAAATTGTTAAACGAGATGTGTCACAGATTCACACACAGTGACAATGTAAATAATTAAATAGGAGTCTATTAAATATTATTAAAATATTTAATAAATTCTAGCTAATTCTTTTTTTGGTTTTCTTTTTTTTCTTTAATAATAAAACTTTGTAATAATAAATTATACATAGGGTAATTCTAATAACAATTAATTGTTGGAAATACAATTAAAATTTATACAAAATATCAATAATTTTAAATGAATAAGCGTGCTCGGATATTCATATGTAATGTCAAATAAATCACGTAATCGAAATTCCATTAAATCGGAAACGATCGTAAACGATACAAGTTATACGTCGGTGAAAGCCTTTCAAAATTATAATTTGAATGTCTTTTATATTGTATACATACTATCTTATTGATGTTTCGATCAAATAAACGATTAAGGATTTTATTATTAATAAACAGCTGTTAAATGAGATATTTTAATGTAAGCTTTCATGTTCGAGATAATTTTGAAGAATTTATGATAAAAAAATGTTTTAATCAATAGTCTCTTATAAATCAAATTTTCAACCTAACCTATATAAACGTTTCACAATTGTTTACGATGATCATATTAAATCATAGAATAGATGTAAAAGAATACGATGTTAATAATTTATTATTAAATTAATAAATATATATTAACTATTGTAAAACGTACGATTTTATCGAAAAAAATTAGTAGATTAAAAGATCCAGATAGTTGAAACGTATTGAAATTGAACTACGAGATTAGATCCAATTTTCAATCTAACCTAAAAAACGTTTCACAATTGTTTACGAGATGACCATATTAAATCATAGAATAGATGTAAAATAATACGATATCAATCATTTATTATTAAACAATAATATATATATTAATAATTGTAAAACGTACGATCGGTTATCATATTGATTTAATCGAAAAAATTGGTAGATAAAAAGATTCATGTAATTGAAACGTATTGGAATTGAACTACGAGATTTGATCCAATTTTCAATCTAACCTAAAAAACGTTTAACAATTGTTTACGAGATGATCATATTAAATCATAGAATACATGTAAAATAATACAATGCTAGTAATTTATTATTAAATGAAAAAATAAATATTGACTATTGTAAAACGTACGATCGAATATCATAACGATTTTATCGAAAAAAATTGGTACATAAGAAGACCCAGATAGTTGAAACGTATTGGAATTGAACTACGAGATCAGATCCAATTTTCAATCTAACCTAAAAGACGTTTCACAATTGTTCACGAAATGATCATATTAAATCATAGAACAGATGTAAAATAATACGATAGTTTATCATATTGATTTTATCGATAAAAATTGGTAGATAAAAAGATCCAGATAGTTGAAACGTATTGGAATTGAACTACGATATTAGATCCAATTTACAATCTAACCTAAAAAAACGTTTCACACTTGTTTCCAGTGATCATATTAAATCATAGAATAGATGTAAAATAATACGATATCAATCATTCATTGTTAAACCATAATGTATATATTTACAATTGTAAAACGTACGATCGTTTATCGTATTGATATTATCGATAAAAATTGATAAATAGGAAAAGATCCAGATAGTCGGAACGTCACACGGAATTGAACCACGAGACGTTCGAAAAAAAAGTAACGGACGTGCATGCCGTTGCACGGGAGATCATGGACCGGACCGGATCCGATCAGACCGACGACCTTTTACTCTCTTTTTAAATAAGAAAGGGGAAGGGGAAAGAGGAGAGAGAGAGAGGGAAGAAAGCCCTACTGACCCAGAAGTCGTGAAAGCGACTCGACGTGTCCGTAAAAATGGTCCTCGCGTGTTTGTGCTATTGCGTGTGTGTGTGTGTGTTTGCGTGTATATAAGCCTTTTACTCGTTTGCACGATACCAATTCCTTTCTCTCAAACAAAGGTATTTTTGTTGTTATATTTAATTGTCTTTGGTGTAGTCTCGTACGTGAATAAACCAAAAAGGTGCACAAACACAAACTCACGCACACATTTTAGTAATCTTTCTCTGAAGTTAAGCTCAAGAGAGTTTCGATCGATCCTAACAGTGATTTTTATCTTTCTAGTATTACAAATAATAACCAATGTTATTTTGTCAACTAATTATTCACGAAAATCAAATTCTACGATCATGAATAATTCATGACATTTTGTATAATTTCTTCATCATTTTGTCATACATTTTTACGATCGATTTTTCAAAAGTCCTTTTTTTTTTTCTTTTGTAATAAATTACGAACTCGAATGACAATTTCCGATTGGTTGCTGTTGTAGGAAGTCAACGTTTAATACGTTCCGTGCCATGTAGGGCGTATTCGACCCACGCTGACATCTTGTCAAGAAGGGAAAGTATTGTATTCAATAGAATTCGATTTCTTGTATAGAAATTGTATAGAATCAAGAATTTTGTTGGTTTCAATTTATTATACAGTTAATTGTGAGCATTTTAATACCATCATATATATATACATGATGGTTTATTGCACAATGGCGCACGTTGGTTCACAATCCGAAAAACTAGTGCAATTTTCAAAAAAAAAAACATTTTTCTTTTGACTAATTAACTCATGGAATATATTTAACGGATCTTACATCATCTTTATCGATCATTTTTTCATAGATTAATGTTTATACAAATTTGTAAATTATTAATTGAAATATGCGTATTTTTCTGACTCGTTGCAACCGAAAATTTAAGATCTGTTTAAACTCGCACAGTAAAGTTAATATTTGTTCGATTTTAATATATAAATATGGAATCTTTGATTGACACTAAAGTACAATTGAATGATGTTTTTAAATATTTGTATGAATAACAATTATTGTTGTTATCATAGAATATACTGTAAAATGTGTTTTTTTCCTGATACGATATTAAAAATATTTTTTTAAAATATTATAAATATATAATTATTTTTATACTAACTGCACTTATGCATACATATATATATGCAATATGTTATAACACGAGTCACACGCGTGTCGGTAATTTCTCTACCAAAAAGTAGGTTAAATCTTGCCGTGTATATCAGATTTGCTCCAGTTTTATCATTTACATCGGGACAGATGATGAATTTTCGTTATAAAAATGTTTTATCTCGTTAAATGTAACTGTTCAATCTTATTTCATTTAATCGTTGAGAAATAATTCAATGAAGAGAAAACTGTAGTTGTAAAATGTAATGTTTAAGTGTTAAGTGTATAAATCTTGATAACCTTTTCATTATATACATTTACTTTCTCCAATAATTCTGTATCAAATAAAATTATTGCAAGAAGTATTATCATTCCCATAACATATTTCTGATTTTTGTTTTGTTTTTCTGCAATTATAACGACGAATAAAAATTAAACACAAACATAGAAATGGAAACATTTTTATTTCGAAATTATGCATTGTTATATCATTTAATCAGATTAA